ATAAACATCTCTCAAGAAACATTTCTCAATTTCTGGATTAAGTTCTGGTGGAGTAACACCGAAGATATGCAAATTCCTTCCGGAGTTAACGTAAATACACAAGAAGTTACTTGTTGAGTAGCACCGGTTTGTTCACGAATCAACCTCTAGTTTTTTTGCAGAACCGCCGACTTCTGCGGGAAGGAACATGAAACTCCTGTTTTAAGAACATTGATTTAGAACATTGATTAGCACATCGTTTAGAAAACATGAAGAATTAAGCTCAAGTTCTTGTGGAGATACATGGATTTCTTGATGAATTCAGAAGAAGTTCTTCTGGAGATAAAACCCATTCCATCAGGAAATAACCTGAATTTCATGTGGTGAAACAAAGGGTTATACCGGTATATTACAAGTTCTGGTCTAGAATCTCAGATTTCTTCTAAAAAGAACGTGAACTTCTAGAGAAAGACCGATTTCTTCCGGAAAAAACATAAAGTTCTTGTGTGAAGCACGGATTTATTCAGGAAAAAACATGGTTCATCTAGAGTAACACCGATTTCTTGAGGAATACACAAGACGTTCGTCCGGACTAAAACCGATTCGTTCGATCGGTGTCTTGGGTAACAGCGAGTCAGGAAAAAATATCACTCTCTCCTGGAGAAACACCAATTTCTTCCAGAAGATGTAGGTCTTCTTGTGCAGAAGTTTTTGTGCAGAAACATGAATTTATTCCGGAAAAAACACGGTTCTCCTAGAGTAACACCGATTTCTTCAGGAATAAGCATGAAGTTCTTGTGGAAAAACGCCGATTTGTTATGGAATTAACCTCAAGTTCATGGGTAGAAACTCGAAAAATACACGAAGTTCTGGTGCGGAAAGACTGCTTGATTCATTAAGAGACCCTAAGGTCTTGTGCAGAATCACTGATAAACATCAACTTCTTGACTAGAAACGAGGATTTCTCTCGAAACAACACTAAGTTCTTGTCTTAAACGAGCGATTTATTCTGCAATAAGCATGAAGTTCGGGTGAACTAACACCGAGATACGCTGACGATATTCAAATCCCTTCCGAAATTAACGTAAAGTTCTTGTGGAGAAACACCGATTTATTCAGGAATTAATCTCAAGCTCTTGTGGATGAAGTTCTTGTGGGAAACACGATAAACATCAACTTCTTAAGAAGTAGGGTGTAGGCCACGGGGAAGGTGTAGGTGGCCACGGAATTAACGTGTAGATCTTCTAGTGCAGAAACACGAATTTATTCAGGAAAAAACGCGGGTCTTCTAGAGTAACGCGGATTCCTTCCGGGATTAACTTAAAGTTCTTCTAGAGAAACATCAATTTATTCAGGAATTAACCTCAAGCACTTGTGGACAAACACTGGTTTCTTCCGCAATAACCATGAAGTTCTTGTGGAGAAACACCGATAAACATCAACTTTTTGGGTAGAAACACGGGTTGTTGCAGGAAAAACACGGTTCCCTCTAGAGTAGCCCCGATTTCTTCACGAATATAAGTCAAATTCATGTAGATAAACACCGGTTTCTTGAAGAATAGAGAAGAAGTTCTTCTGGACTAAAACCGATTTGTTCGATCGGTGTCTTCAGTAACACCGAGACCGGAAAAAAAATCAATTTCTTGTGGAGAAACATCAATCACAGGATTCTTCTAGAGTAACAACGATTTCTTCAGGAATAAGCATGAACTTCTTGTGGAAAAACGCCGATTTGTTATGGAATTAGCCTCAAGTTCATGGGTAGAAACACCGATTTATCCCGGAAAATACCCGAAGTTCTGGTTTGGGCAGACGGATTGACTCACTAAAAGACACGCGGTTCCTGTGGAGAAACACTGATAAACATCAACTTCTTGACTAGAAACACGGATTTGTTCAGGAAAAAACACGGTTCTTCTAGAGCAGTCCCAATTTCTTCAGGAAATATCAGGAAAATAGGTCAAATTCTTGTGGAGAAATGCATCATTTGTATTGCTCGGGAATACACATGAAGTGATTTTTTCAGGAGTTAACCTCTAGTTTTTGTGTAGAACCATCGACTTCTTCAGGAAAACGCATGAAGCTCCTGTTTTAGAAACATCGATTTATTCCGGAATACAGGTGAAGTTGTAGTGCAGTTACACCGACTTCTTCAAGAATTAACCTCAATTTCTTGTGGTGAAACATAGGTTTATACCGGTATACTATAGGTTTATGTGTAGAATCTCAGATATCTTCTCGAAGAAACATAAAGTTCTTCTCTAGTACCACTGATTTTTTCAGGAATTAACTTCAATTCCTTGTGGAGCAACACCGATTTTGTAATGAAACACAGGTTTGTACCGGTATATTAAAGTTTTGGTGTAGGATCACAGACTTTTTCTCGACAAAACAGAAAGTTCTTGTATAGAAACACGGATTTATTCAACAAAAAAACACGGTTCTTTGAGAATAACACCGATTTCTTCGGGAATATGCATGAAGTGCTTGTGGAGAAACACCCATTTGTTGGGTTATGCAGAAGTTCTTCTGGAGTAACACCGATTTCTTCAGGAATCAACCTCAAGTTCTTGTGGAGTAACACCGATTGTTTCAGGAATTAACCTCAAGTTCTTGTGGAGAAACACTGATTTTGTGATGAAACACAGGTTTGTACGGGTATATTGTAAGTTCTGGTGTAGAATCTCAGATTTCTTCTCAACAAAACATAAAGTTATTGTGGAGAAACACGGATTTCTTGATGAATACACGAGTAGTTCTTTTGGGGTAACACCGATTTGGTCAGGAATATGCATGAAGTGCTTGTGGAGAAACACCCATTTCTTGAGGAATACTGTTATGATCTTCACCTTCGGTTAGATCATTTCATCACTTCTGCTAGTCTTCTTATAAACGCGCATATATATACGTTTGCGCGTTATTCTCTATGTTCTGGGATTTTCCCCATATGTAACTTTCCCTATTCTGTTTCTTTCCTTGCTTTTGAATGATGGGTTTTCTCCCTATTCTGTCTGGGGAATTTCCTTTAACTCGGACATTACCATATCTAATGCATTGTTCATAAACCAATATATAGTCGTTGATTTTTTACAATAAAATGTGACTGTATAGGTTATATTCATCTTTGGATATTAAAAGGTTAATTCAGAAGAAATCCTAATATAACATTTGTTCACTGACCAACGGACAAGAACACAAAGCTTACAACTGGTGCACTAGCTAATCTTACTGACAATCCAACAACCCAGTGAGCGACCCGGAGTCGTATATGGATAACGAACGTAAGCATTATACTCCAAGCGCGGCACAAACACAAGAATTTCTATCGTTAACTGATTCTGACGGCAACGCCAGACGAGAACCGACCCAAACCTACGTTGAACAACAAGAATAGTTAGAAATGGATGATCAAGGTGGCAATAGACAAGGGCAAGTAGTCATCCAAAAACCAAACGAGATTATGTTCTTATTGCAGCAATTATTGGCTAAACACGATTTGCTGTTGGATGAGAACAAACAGCTCAAACAAGAGATGGCAACACAACAGATGATTAAGCATCTTCTGGTTTTGCTGTTTTTTCCATGATTTAAAAATTCGTTTAAACTCATCGTTATCGTGCATCCGATCTGATCATTGTCGATCTCACTTCACATCTTATGTGCAATGAACTTTCAATGTAAAACTGAACAACGGAGCCTAAAGTGATGTGTTCTTCCACTTTTTTCCATGCGTGATATTTGCTATGTACACCCTGACTTTTCTGTTGTCTGGAAGCCAACGATCACGAATAGTGTTATGTTATGTTACTGAAAACACATGTATGAAAAAGGCCAATTTATTTGTGTGCGAGTGTCGAAATTAGGAAGAAAAATACGTGGTCTGTTGAAACTAGTGTACTAAAGATGTATTATTCGTTATATTTGAGCAAAAGGGGTTGAAGAAAAAAAGAATGCAAATGATCAGACTACAATGAAGTGGCATCAGTTTTAGAGAAAAAAATTATAAATAGTCTGTCAGATAGAAATTTTTTCTTCCTTTTTTGACATACATAATAACTATGAATAACTGAGCATCTAAACATACTTGAACCAAATTTTTGTCATTATTCCTGAATGACTTTTGAGATATCGAAAATCAGCCGTTAGACCGAGAATTTTGACCTAAGTCCAACGTTAAAAAATTTATGACTTCACCAATATTCATAGGACCGCGAAAATTTCTTGAAGATTCATAGTACTCAACGCGCTCTACAAACTGGCATAATTTGAGGACATGGTAACAGTAATACTGAACACTATTCCTATTACTAGTAACAGTAATAACGGCCCCCCCCCCCCCCCCAAAAATACAACCCCGGGGGGGGTGTTAGTTTGTTTGGGGGCAGGTGATGTGGGGGG